GGGGGGGGGGGAATAAGCCGCGCGCTTCAGTGTGCATGCTCATACAGTTTCAGTCTCACTCCAACCATCGCCTAGCACTGCATCTGTCTTGCTGCACTCAACCATAACGTCTATCTCAACAACAATGACGAACATCAGCCAGACGACACCAGGTAAGGTAAGAGGACATCTCTCCCACAAGCCAGATGTCACTTCTGCCCTCACTCTCTTTCTCCGACAGCTATGGAGGGGCAATGAGCCAGCAGCCTCCTACTTCACAGACAGCCTACTCTGAGCTACAGCAGCCTCAACTATAATTACCATACTCCTGGCCTGGCACAATCTAGTGTCCTCCGGCGCGCAAGTTCCAGGATGAGAATGGATGCCCAAACTGAGGCAGGGTCTGCTTTTCTAGTACCTGCTTGCCCTTGACACAGCCACAAGTCAAAGGGCCTTAGAAGTGAGTCTAGGGTCATTTATCGGGGTCCAAACCGATAAATGACCCTAGACTCAATTCTAAGGCCCTTTGACTTGTGTGCCCTTGCATCTTTCTCCTCTGACTCATAGTTATATTAGTTCAAAACAAAAACAAACAAAAAAAACAAAAAAAAATCAGGGCCTTGTGATCTTGCCTCCGTTCTATTTTGCGGAGCAGCTGTCCGTTTCGTTTTCCACCGGCAGGTTGCCCACGTACGTAGTACACCTACACACTCCAGTGACTCCACCAGCAAGTCAACGATGTATTATGTATTATAGTGTATAGTACACACTCCACCGGCGAGCCTGTGAACAATGTACATACATATATACACCCCACTCCACACTTCCTCCTCCCATTAAGGCCCGAGGAACCTCCATCAGGCATCAGGGGGCATTGATTGCTCTCCACTGCTCCAGGAGAGGATTAACTGCAGGCCATGCCCCCAAGGGGGGGAGGGGTTCTTGTTCCCTAACACTATCTCGTATGATTACCTTCTTCGCCCAGACAGCCAAGCCAGACTCCCAGTGGATCTGTCCCTCTCAGTTCGTCCCCTTTTTTCTTTGAAATGTGTTGTTGTTGCTCTTAGACTATCTCAGCGCTTAAAGAAACCAGCTCCTGAAAGGCTGAAACTGTCAAGTCTGTAACCCTCTGCTCTCCTAATATCTGCATCCTTTATAAAACACCAATACTAGCACGAGACGCCGACTGGCATTTGAAACTAAAAACACGTCGCTCACACACGTTATTACCTTCTTCCCCCTAATACAACGGACAGTCATTATAGCTGTATGTAGACTGAAAGATGTGTCAAATACAGCTGTAATGACCGTACGTTGTATTCGGGGGAAGAAGGTAGGGCCTGGCCCAAATGGGTAAATGGAAAACATATCTTCCGCTACATCACAGCAAGATGCACCCACCATGCTTCTGTGTTTTTCACATTAAATATTGGTAAGGGGTGCTCCAATCTATTCGTGGGGAGCAGCACGTGCTGGGAACCGGGCCCAGCGTCCCATATCAAATTGTACAGATCATTAAGAACATTTGACAACATTTGAGATCATTTGAGATACCGGGGCCATTACCCGGCTTCAGCTGAGATCAGTCTGTGAATATCTAATGACCTATTAAGGAACTACTCATGCACTAGATTACCACAGAGGTCCTACGAATGCTCACAACCCTCAGGATCCCTAACAAGTCCTTCTAAGACTTTCCAACACAGTCTAACCCCTGCTGAGCTCTTCCAGGCCTCACGCCCCCACCCTGCTGGGTTACAGGGCAACACAACTCTCCCCAGCTCCGACCATCGTGACAATACAGACCCGAAGTTTTCGCAACACAGCATTTCACAGCACTAGTTGCAACCATAGACCAACGTGCCGAGCTCAGTTGGTTCACCCACGCTGAGCTGTTGAACTACTGGATCTCTCTCTCTCTCTCTCTCTCTCTCTCTCTCTCTCTCTCTCTCTCTCTCTCTCTCTCTCTC